GCTCATTTGTTTTTATGCCGAAGTACTGCCATATAGCACTTCGCGCCCCTCGTTTGTCCACAAGTTGCGGGGTGGTGACTGTTACAGCAGCCATTCTCCTCTCCGTGCTCCTCTCTCTCTCTCTCGCTCTCTCCCTCTCCAACGTCTCTGCTCTCTCCAAGCTTTCCTCCTGCTCCGTTTGTTGCTCCAGTCCACGCTGCTCAGTGAGCAGAGGACGAGGAAGCTGGTTCCTGCTCTGTTTTCCTCTGTTGCGGGTGGGCGCTGCAAGTACCGTTCCCATCCAAATGCAGTATAGTACCATTTTAAATGCCTCAGTACCGCAGTACCATACTAGTACCGGTATATCGTGCAACACTATATGTGACTGGTCCATTTTACTTTGAATGGAGGCAACGTCCATTCCCTGATCTAATACCCAATACATTATCACACACACCCTAAAGTGGTTCATAAGGCAATTCATGCATGTTTCAATGAATGGAACCAAATGAAACAATAAAGCTACACTATGTTTAGCAGCCATTATTTGCACAGATGTACAGTAACAAGTCACTACAATGAACATGAGTCAGAGATAAATTCATAAATGAGCAGATGCATAAATGACTGAACAAGTGAACGAATCCATTACTGAATAAATTATTGTTGTGTCTGAAGATTAAATTAAAAGTATATTTAGAGATCCTAATCCTCAAAAGATGTGTTAACCAGCCACTACTATGAAACATGTCAATACAAAATAAAGGAGTGAACAGAACGAACAAGTGGATGCATTTAATGGCTAACCATTACTGTGTTATCATACTTCACCTAGATATTGTAGTGTTTATTCTGAAAAGGAGGCTGTTCAGAGAGAGATGAATGAGCCAACAAGCGATGTAAAATGAAATTGATTAAATTGAATTAAAGGATGAACCTTTGTTTCCAGGGTCAATATTATTCACACAGACTTGGTAACTAGACATATTATTGAGCTCTCTGAGCCATCTCAAGCACAACATATTGGCCTAACATTTCTGGCTAGTCCAGGGAAGAGAGGATGATGATACTGAATCCTGGGAATTCAAAAGAAAAGGACATGTAGTGTTGAGGGACTAACAACCCACTCACCACTTAATCATGCTCTAATTTCCTCTGTCAAATATGTGCAAGCAAAAGTGTGAGTGGTGCAGCCAGCATAACATTAATGACGCCAGCTTACAACTTAGCTGACATGTGATCACCAGTTAGCCTAATTGGTGTGCAGAGATTTCCTTGGCTCAAGGAGTAAGCAAAGCAGAGCCAACCAGCTACAGAATGTTTGCTATGTCATGCAAACCTCATAATTATCATTCATTAGACACAATGTATCATGAAGCTGATCGACCTGTAAAAACCATATAAATGGATTTTACAGGATTTGTACAGTGTATTATAGTTCACTGGGTTCATTTCTCCCCAGCTTTAGCTCTCAGTATGGCTCCAGTGTCTGATTAGACCATTGTAAAGTAGTGCAAACATTAGCACCTTTTGACATTATCCACCCCTGTTTTAGTCTTTACAAAACAGCTCTAATCTATGCTGTCTTTCAGGGTTTTTGGCCAAACCAGACTGAAATTTATTCAGATTCCCTCTTGTCTCTGGAGACCTACGGCCCCTGTAATAGTGGTTCAAGCCAATTAGTGGAAAGGGCTTGCAGTCAGAAGTGTCACTTCAGTTACATCAGCCAACTGAATGTAACCTCTGCTAAGAGTGTTTTCTCGTTAATTGCTCGTCTGGTATTATGAAGCACAGAAAAGGCCATGGACAAAAGAAAAACTAAAGCACAACATGTAGAAACTGCCGCACTGAAATTTATAATTGATGCTTATGTAGATACAACAGTTACAGAACTTAGGTTTTTCTGTGTTCTTTGGCCGTACCTTTAAGATGCCTTAAACATATTTTACTGGATAATCAACTTTTCACAGTAAAACATTTGAAGACTCTGCAGATATTTATAGCCTATACTGATAAGCTAGGTGTGCAATGACTGCAAATGTCCCATCCATGGAACAAAAACGCTCCTCATGGATACTGTCCACAAACTCTCACTACTCACTGACACAACTAGGACATGCTATATATTACAATATCAATAGAATGCTCCAAATCTCAGAATTTCAGCTAAAATACTAGAGCATTTTATTGTCCCCGTAACACAACAGCCGTTTTAAAATTTTCTCTGGGAAAGCACACACAACAAATAGTCGCTCCCTACCTTTCTCTTTTGTTGTTTGTACTTATCCCAGATGTGCAGGCCTGTCCAAGTGGCCATAGCTGAATATCGTTTCTATCACACTCAAGCATTAGTTCAACAAACACAGCGTCATATTGATAAAATCTTCACTTATTTTACGCTTATGCTAACTATATTATCACAAGCACCGCCATATTTTTGTATGCAGGTTTTACACGTTAAAAAACGCCCCATTTACGCGCGTATAGGTCTTCCATTGGTCAATTAGCACGTCAATCAATAAAATCAGTCAAACACATTGGTAAGTGACAGTGTAACCTCTTACCTTTTGGCAAATCATGGGCTTTGCCGATATGATTGACAGGGTTTGTAGCTAAAGAAATTACGAGTTCAGAGAGGTAACACATCCTGGTAAAATATGTGCATCTTGTTTACTACTCTGTTAAAGGACCCATCATTAATTTATTGTCATTAATTTGAAGGCTACTGAGTAAATAGTATTTAAATAGTTCATGAATTGTATTATTTCTGTGAAATAAACACTTTTAATAAGTTATTTACTCTGTTATATTAGTATGCACAAAATATCAAGTATGTAACAAAATATTTGACAGAAATGGAGGTCCACCTGGGAAAATCCCCACAGACAAAAATTAAGAAAGCTCATATTTAATGCCATCATCAACAACTTTGACAGAGAAATGGTTCAGACGTGTGTGTTACTCCACTGTGTATCACTCAATATCTAATACTACAAACCTTATATACCCTTTCATAGGATTTAGAATAATTTATGGTGTAGAATAATTTATATTCATTTTGACTGTTTAGTTGTATAATTTATAAAGTTGCCTTTCAAATGAGACTAGCATTATGAATGTAATCAAAAGGTGACTAACATTTTTATTTTACGTGTTATGTTTAAGCTTGTGCACAGTTTTTTTTCTAGCTGACCCATCTGCATTTCCATTTTTCTGTTTTGAGCTCACCTCCTGACAAAAAGTTGAATCAGCCAATCAATTTGCTTTACATGTACAATATAGGTCCACAAACATGGAAGAAGAATTCTGTGTCACTGTGCATATTTGCTAGAAATTAAGGTTTTATTATAAAAATAAATCTAGAAATAAATAATCACCCACATAGTACTGCTAATAAATATTCCTCTCTGCCTTGCATCCAGTGCTGTATTTTAGTTACTTAGAAACTCTAACATGTGGCCTTCAGAACAGAATTGAGAACTGGTCCTATCTTTTTCTGTGAGTCTTATCTAAGTGAAGCGTCCTTCACAGCCCATATAAAAAGAAGAGACACACTCTGTCTTTGCTGTCACTGCTAAAGACAGACAGTATGCTGCCTGCTGTTGTAAAGCTCTGCTGTGGAATCTCCTACCCACATCTGAGGACTATGGCAGGTAAAGAATTGTTAGGAATTGGAAGAATATTTTTTCTTTTTATTCCTTTTTATTCAAATGGTGCAAGACTCCTGAGCTAACTGTCAGCACTTCAACACGCAGCTGTGGCAGTGATAGGCCAGGAGATCACACATCTGCAGAGATGGGGGCAGATCCAACATCACATGAGAACGGATGCTGGTTTTAAGAGTAATGGTGAAATTCATTATGCTGGATTCATTAGATATTTTAGAGTATAGTTACTGAATGTTCACTAACAAGAATCTATTGCAGAGACCAAACCTGAAGATTTAAAGCCCAAGCCTGTGAAAGAAGATCAGCTGTTCTATGTACAACAAGGGCAGGAGGCAATGAGGAAGGCTCTCACTATGTTGGAGGACAAAGACGGATGGAAAGTTGAGAACACAGAGGTAATGTCTGATTGATCAAAGTGCCATTCTGCTTCCAGTTTTCATGCTCTGAAATAACTTAAATGACCCCTTTGTTAAAACTACATCTGACATCTGCTTGTTTGCTCTTCTAGAGCAATGGGGATGTGATCTGTAGCAAAGTGATGCCAGGGGCCAGGAAGGTCTTCAGGCTGGAGGCGGTACTGGAGGCCAGCATCGATGACCTCTATGACCTCTTGTTTGTCAGAGTGGAGGACATGCACCAGTGGAACCCGAGCATACAGCATCTTAAAGTGAGCAGCTAACCTTTCAACAATTCACTAAAGGCTGCTGTTGATAACTGGATATTTAATCAACTGTGAAACTATTACCAATAAAAATAACTTGATTTAGACCAGGGGTGTCAAACTCAATCGCACAGGGGCCAAAACTCAAAGCACACTTTAGGTCGTGGGCCGAACAGGATAAACATTTATTGAACAGACTAAAACTAAACGTTTTTTGAACATAAATATGAATCGAAACAGACAGGATACAATATTATTACAAAATAAATAAACTTGAACTTAAAATCAGCAACCGTATTTCTGCTAAGGCTTACATTTGCAAACACCTGCTTTTTGTCTGGACACAAGACGTCGCACACTTTCATCATGCAGCTCTTCAGAAACTGTCTCTTGGTAAATGTCCGGGCTGATTTTCTCCTCTGCTGCAATAAAACCCTGGTTTCACAGCAGCTTCACTGTGTGATTTCACTTTGGTGAAAACATCTGCTGTGATGTCAGATTCCTCTTCAACTCCTCAACTCCTCTACCTCTACATCCGGCCCGCGAGCCTTGAGTTTGACACATGTGGTTTAGACGGTGTCACATGAATTTTTTATGTTACTTTATGAAAGGTTTAATTGTCAGTGCATTTCTGTATGTAACCACAATCCATTTACACAGTGAACATACTGTATATTAAATACATTTGCAACAATAAATGATTGCTCACATTGCTAGACCTCTCATTTCATAGAGTCAATTGCTATTTCAAGTGTACATAGTGTTTTGCAAACTAAATTTGATATTTGTATCTGTTGTAGGTTCTGAAGCACATTGGACCTGAAACCATTATCACTCATGAAGCTTCAGCTGAGACAGCAGGAAATCTGATTGGCCAAAGGGATTTCTTGAGTGTAAGACACAGTTACAGACAAAACTCCAGCGTTTATCTTGGAGGAGCAGCAATTCAGCTGGAGTCCTTTCCACCCCAAGCAGGCTTTGTGAGGTAGGAGGATGATCTGCAGACCAGGCAATGACTCTTTTTCAAATGAGCATTAATCATAATGTAATACAATATATTCAACAGGTTCATTAAATTTTCTCTCATGATCTATAACATCAGATAGTCTCAGCACAATAAACAGTAAAACATCAGTAATGGGAAACATGCTGCTGCTTGTAATGACATATAGGCCATTAGGGCATAGTAAATCTGAATTTCTAAACATTGATAAACAATGAAGGATTATAGATTCTAATTTGGAAATATACTAAGGAACAAGCACACTTAATGGGTTTGTTTGCATGTTTTCAGAGCTGAGAATGGACCAACCTGCATCATCATACAACCTGTGGATGAGGACCCAAGAAAAAGTCACTTCACATGGCTTCTTAATATGGATGTAAAGGTAAATCCATGTGGTTTGCTTTTTGTAAAAGATAGTAGTACCTGCAGACTCCTATGTGTGTAATATTCGTTTACTGAAATTTATCTGCTTGTGCAGTAAATATCCAACAGATAAGTGCAGGTGGGGTTCCTGTGACTGTACTGTTTTAAAACTCCAGCACTTCTGCCAGGCTTTTATCTAGTGAGCAGTGAACTTCTTAGATTGGCCATTTTCTGCTGTGTGCAATAAACAAGCAACTCAATCACGTTAAACCAATCACAATTTGTCACGTTCAAGAGAACAACACTTCCTGTTGTGTGACAAATGTCTGAATGCAACCTAAAAGTCAGGATATCTCAGCTTCTGCTGTTTAATTTTGACATTTAGGTTGCATTCAGACATTTGCCATGGACATCAACAGGAAGCTGCATTGATGGGGTTGTTGTTTTATGTGAGACAATGAAATAGCATCTGGGAAATTGAGTTGTGTTCCAGAAATAACTGGACCAGATCTAATATTTTTTCTGCATGGTGTTGTTTTGGCAAAAACCAGCAAAATGTCTGAATGCAACCTAAAAGTCAGGATATCTCAGCTTCTGCTGTTTAATTTTGACCATTCTGGTTTAAACTGTCTTTTGTGAGTCCCCCAATTTCACGAAACTGCAATACTAAATCAGTGGAGCACCCCTTTAACTCAAAGTTTACATACTAGCTTCTTCTGAGAACTATTTTGTTCTTAGTACTGCATTATTATTACTGTATGTAAAAACCAGATATGCTAGCTGATAATTGCATAGCATAGTGTAATATTATTATATTATATATGTTATATATGTTATATTATTAGTATATCATATTTGCATATCAACAGCAGAATATACAGTATATTTATTGTACAAGGCTGGCTAGCTGGCATACTGTTTTACTTACCAAGTCTGACATTTGCCAAAATGCAGTTCTAACAAAGACAACTTTGTTCTCAGGGCTGGCTGCCAAAGTCCATTGTCAATCAGGCTTTGCCCCGAGCACAGCTGGATTTCACAAGACACCTCCGCAGGCATCTCACAGCGAGTGCATCATCACTCACAGGGGAAGACAGGAATATAGAGACACGGTGACAGTCTGACTGCTCAGCAGGACACTGCCCTTTCAGCAATAGCAGAAACGCTTCCGGGAGGAGACGCTCTGCAGAGCACAGCTGGCAGACACCAGTGTCGACCACCCAGTGCCAGCCTGGAAGAAGAACAAGACTTATAATAGGAATTAATGTCACAGTGTACCACTCAAACCTCAAGTTTTCCTGAGGAGGAGCCATCACTTGTCTGTTGACACATGACTAACTACATGAGCCCCTGCATATGACTGGATGAAATTAATAAAGTACTTGAATGTCCTTAGTCTGCCTGATTCATTTCATCCACCACATCATACAAATAGCTTGAATATCAACACTACACAACAGGTGCCTCTTCTTAATTCAAAAACAGTAAGTATCTGAATGTTTGGAATGTAAAAAAATGATTCAGGGACAGTCAAGCACAAAAGCTACTACAAAGGCTTGTGATTGTCAGGCATTTTTAGCACAAAGATGAATATAGCAACAGTAAACGGGAGCTAAATAGAGGAAACTGAAACAAGAATCTCAAGTCTTTCAGATTTTTTTTTACTATGTTCTCCATACCACTTAAAAATTCAATAAATATTAACATTTAAAGCTTTCATTCATGTACGTATATACAAGAACTATACAAGAAACTTAATGATGTCATGAACTGCAATGCAGGAATAGTGTAACAGTATGACCAACCACAGTCTGTAGGCTTACAGCATTGCCTGTATTTTTCAATTGCAACTTACTTTTCTTTCAGTTCCTGTTTGTTCATTTCTTTTCATAACTTGAAATTTAAACTATATACATTATTATCTGAAAAATATATCAGTTACAAAAATCATCATGAGTTTTTTCTTTCTGTTTTTAAAGCGACTAACTTCCACACAGGCAGACAGAGGGCTACAGTGGGGTTGGCATGACACTGTAAAGAGTTTTTACCAGTGAGGATAATCACCAGTATGTTGGAGTTAGACAACAAAATGAGCACCAGGGACAGAGAAGCCATGAAGCTCTGTGCCAGGACTATGGAGTCTGGAGTGTGCCACTGGAATAGTTACAGACTTAACAAGAGTTTTATTGAAATACATTAGGTGTATGGCTCCAAATTATGTGTTCTAAGGGTGAGCAGTGAAACAAAGAGCAATGTTTTATCTTTCTCTATTTGAATAATATTTTGAGAAATATTATATTATTAGCTGTTTTGCTGAGAATTACATTAAGTGGTAAGATGGATACCACTCAAATATTTGTATGGTAAATATAAATCTGCAGTTGGGAGGCAATAATCACTGCTGCCTGGTTCTGTCCAAAGGGAACAAATATGTCCTAAAATTGTAAAAACAAAAACAAAACAAAAAAAAAAGATGACTGGTTTAGGAGCAGGAATTATTTCTCAGTAAACAGCATTTACTGTATGTTAGTTTGGCTGACTGAAAGGTCACTGCTCCTAGCTGTTGTCTGCCAAAAAATATTTATAGCACTTAATTCTTTAAAACCAAACATTGCTATTTTTAACATTTCTGTTTGCATAGAGATGAAACAAACACCATATATAGTAACATGTTAATTAGTGAGCTTTTGATGCCAGGTTAGCGATTTCCCCCTGCTTCTAGTCTTTATGCTAAGATAAGCTAACTGCCTTATGGATGTAGCTCCATACAAAATATAAAATCATTGAAATTGGTTTTTGGGTTTGACCTTATTTCATTTTTAGGTGTCACACTGCTAACTCATTTTCAAATGTGAGCATAATCAAAAGATGGAAACTGTAGCAGGCAATGGATTGGGATAAAGTTTGGATTTAGTGACACACTCGAAACTCCATATGACGTGTATCTCCAAAACCACAGCCTTTGGCCTCTCCTCATGTTCACAATATAAGTTCAATAGTAGTTCTAATGCACTTGAAAAAAAGACAGGCTTACACAGCTGTACACAGATAAAAACATGAATGTAGCAATGCAGTCATCACATTTTGAACACATCTTTTAGTCATTTTAATTTACAGCACCTTTGGCTTAACTTATTTTTCTTCCGCTTCATATTTGAAGCCCAGAGGGCAGGGTGATGCTGTGCACAGAATGCTCTGGAGTTTTGATGAGGTAACCGTCACTGGTCTGGTTTAAGTTCACCTGCATGGAAAAAAAAACTTTGTAAAAAAGAAAGAAAATATCTGCAGCAAGACTTCAAGTCTATCAGATGCTGCAAAGTCTCACTGAACAGCATGTTCACAACATCGCTCACTGTTTATTTCTGCACTGACAAGGTTCTGTGACTCAAGTCCCCGGGTTCTAAATCGTCCCTTCTTGATCTGGCAGTGAATGGGCCTAAAGTGCTGTTTGTACTGCCCTTTTATGAGGCATCTCCAGTGGAGTCTGCTGTGGGCTGCTGTGGAGACCCTGGAGGTAGAAGAGGCCAAGGGTCTGAGTCTTCCTTTCCAGACATGAGGAAGGAGTCACTGGTGGGACCCTGAGGCAGGGCAGTACCCAGAAAGGTTTCAGCAGCAACAGTGGTGGTTGGCATGGCGGTGGTCGGCAGCCGCATACTGATGGCTGTAGTGGTGTGTGGTGGGCTCTGTGTCGTAGCAGACAGAGGAGCCTTGGCTGAGGATGAGTGAGAAGGAGAGGAAGTCTCAAGTTCCACTGAAGACACAGGGGTGTTTTGGAGCTCAGGAGCATGCGAAGCAAGGTTTTCTTTCTTGTTGCAAGACTCACAGCAAAGCTTATAATAACCAGGGATGGAACAGTAACGGGCAAGAACCTCCATTTGACAGAAAATTGATTTATCCCCGAGACATGGCTCATCTAGTAATAAGAGAACAGAGGACAGCAATAAGAGCAATACTGAATCCAAAACTGTTGTGCTACAGACATTTAAATGTGTGACAGATTTCTGAAAGAAATTACATATTGCCTTACTAGAGGAAATTCTGTGGACAGGGTTTTCAGGAACAGTTTCGGCTACAGCCTCATATTTTATTGTGAAGTTTTCAACTGTAAGAGAAGTCACGGGCTGTCCTGGAGTGTACAACAGCAAAGACAGGACAAAATGATGCTAAAAAATATTCTTAAAGAAGATGTTAAGCAGGAGCAATGGACGACATTATATTCAGAGGTGTCTCTATATTTTTGTCCTCCCCATCTACATACATGAGAGGCTCAGAATATTAGGAACACCTCTAATTATAATATAGTCCAGTACAACAACACCTTTAACTATGAGCTCAATAATAAACATATTATTGAATTTATACATTTATGACAATTTCAACAAAAACTGAAACATTTTGAGTTTCATAAACACAGATGTTAAGGTGGAAGTGTTACATTGAATTGTACAGGTGCACCTAATAAAGTGGCCCGTGAGTGTATGCATTGTTTGTTCTGGCTGTGAGACTGATTCTGAGTCAGAAAACCTACAGCATGTGAAGCGCTGGCCTTGCATAAACTTACTAAAAGAGGATTATGGCTGATTATGACATAAACCACCCACATGTTCTTCACAAAAAACATACAAATCTTTGTGGGAATTCTTTACTGTCAGTCTATATGCATCCATCATGAAAACGAAATTCAGACAGGTTCTCTCTAATAGAAAATTAGGTTAGACAACTGGTCAGCTGGCAAATAAATAAACTCTTTTCCTTAATTATATGTATGTGGATCTCACCCGGACAAGGACTTAGTTTGCAAATGAGGACTGTTTCTGGCTTCTCGCCCTCACATTCTCCAATGATATTGTCGCTGTCCTTGCAAACCACCTGTCTTTGCTGAATCCCGTCGCCACAGGTCACAGAACACTACCACACAGCCAACACACACACACACACACACATAAACACAAATGTACAGGAAATGTATTAAACTGTTAAAAGCAGTACTGTATAGACTTTAGAAACTCCATCACTTAGAATGAGATGCTACATGGGACTGTGACCACCACAGTCAGGATCTAACACATATTCCAGTTTAAACTTGATACATGCAAGTTAATTGTGTTCCTAATATTCTGGCAGTCTCATATGTGTGACTGGGGGCTGGGGATGCAGCTGGGGATGACAAAAATATAGAAACACCTCTGCACGTAATGTATTCTAGTACAACAACACCTTTAGCTATGGCCTATAAATAATAAACACAAGGGGAGTTAGGAAATATCTGTAGCAGTGTAAACAGGAATTAACTGCAGCACCCCTACCTGTAACACAGCTGTCAAAAAACAATTTATTTAATGGGGCAATATATTAAACTAAACTTAAAATTTGAATTAATAACAGTTGGTGCTGTCACCCTCCTCACCTGAGACCACGCCCCTGTCCTCCACTGGACAGGGCACACTGTGTGGTTACAGGCTCTCCTTGTCTCAGGACGATCCTCAGTGCAGTGTTTGCTGTGGACAGGCCTGCTGGTGCCGTTGTGGAGTTCCTGCATGCACTGCACCACCCTGGTCTGGTAGCCAAGTTTCCCGCAGGTCTTACTGCAGGGGCTCCACTCTTCCACCTCCCACCTGTCAGCACATCAGGCTCTTTGAACATTTCCACATCACACATCTTGACCAGCTGCATCACTGTCTGGTATGGCAGCACTACTGCTATGGACCGCAAGTGCCTGCAGAGAGTGGTAAAGACTGCGGAGAAGATCACCAGGACTCCACTGCCCTCTCTGCAGAGCATTTACCACCACAGGGTGCGTAGGAAA